TGTTTTGGCGCACAAAAATAAAATCTTGATGTTTTGATGAAAAAGTAATACCTTTTGATACCTTTTTTTTTATCGTTCATTTGTCTGAAAGGGGCGCAAAGTGTCTTAAAAGAGCGACAAGAAGTGCAAGGCCTAGGGTGAAAAAATGTGTAAATCCGCTACTGATGACTTGTGTAAATACAAAGGTACACTAATAGGAACAGACACAGTAATATAGTAACAGTAATATAATAACAGTTGCCTATATTTATTATAGGCGCACATGGATCACCAAATACAGTCGATTTAATTGGAAATTCGATTGAAATGATATGTATTCAGTTTCTATAGAATGTATTAATTCTAATATTTGAGGACTAAGTAATTACAAAACTAAATAATAACATTGATAATGTACTTAGTCTATCAATGACAGATTTTACGCACTCCTGCATTTGATGTAAATAAAAACTTTACGTTTTCGCGAATTAATATCGTTATTGTAAATAAAAAAAAAGAAATTTTTGTCCTCTTTTTCATACAGGATTTTTTACAATACGAAATTTTACAACCATTTTACGTCCCATAAATAAAAAGGATTTACAGGATTTTTTTTATATATATACATCAAACGTTTGAAACATGAAACGTCGCTCCGATTGCAGGCGTGGAGAAACGCGATATGAAAAGGCTGTAGATTATTATATTTGTTCTATGTGGTATTGAAAAATTACAGGTAGTAACTTTGTTGCACGGTATTTGAACACAATTTTGCTATCTCTTCGGGACACCATTTTTATGACGAGATTTACTTATAGGTACATAAATATTCAGAGAAGAAGTATATTTATAGATTGATTTTTCCAAAATCATCTAAATTCTGACTTCATTCAAATTGAGTCCCAATTTCTATGTATTATTCACAATTTCTGGTTAAGACTGTGTGAATTTTAATATTACTTATGAATATAAAGCAGACAGTCTCACAACCGAATCTTGCATGAGTTGGCAATGCTGGCGACGATGAAAGGGACAATACCATCACAAAGTGCGTTAAAAGGGAAAGGTAACAACTAAGCGAGATGGTTCCTGAGCTGACCTCAGTTGCAGCAATAGCGTATTCGTAACGCTTTTCAAACATTTTCACACTTTTTTTCCCCGGAGACTCTTCTTCTTCTTGTTCTTCTTCTTCTTCTTCTTCTTCTTCTTCTTCTTCTTCTTCTTCTTCTTCTTCTTCTTCCTTCAACAAGCCAGCCACAATAAGAGAGCGAGTGAGCAGACAGACTGCGTACATGGTGACCATAACAAATGTAGCTAACTAAGCGCAAAAGTCTCGCGAAAGCTTATTACTCGATGTTTACAGCCTGGAGGAAACTTGGCCCGTGCTCTCGTAGCGCGGTGTACCGCACTTTAGGAACTCGCAAGAGGAGTTCTACAGTAACTGCAACCACCACGAGTCGTTTGAAAGGGGGCCTGTGTGACAACGGGGCCAATCCCGTAATTAACATATACTCTCCTCCCTCCTCGGTTACTCTCCTTTCCTCTACTCTCTTCCGCGTCCACTGCTGGAAACATTCTACGTGCGAGTCGATAAAACACCTGTCGACGATGTCGTTGAAACCATTGGATATTTTTCAACAAGAGAATACGGCTACGAAGGGGATGGAAATCACTTTTCAGGAAGTTTCCCGGCGGAAGGAAACACCGATCTTTTCTAAACCATCCGCGCTCCGTAGCCGTCGCTCTAGGGCGTCCGTCGCGATCGAAGTTAATTGAGTCGTCCGTAATGAGGTTTCGGCCGCTTCTGTCGAGAAATTTTAATCGGCCGAGAGGATCGGGGAAGAAAGAGGTGTCTCCAAGTCGCGCCAACGACGAACGCTTGGAATGTTTGCAAGGAGTTATTCAATTATTTTACGTCCCGCCGCGCCGGTCCGAGGTGCCATTCGATTTGCTCGTTGCGACTCGCGAGGGACAGCGAGGGATCCTGAACAAATTCAACTACATCGGACAGTATTGATGCGATTAAAAAAAAGTGCAAAGTGAAATAATTTTTGTGGCAAAAAAAAGTGGAATTAAATGCAATTCAGTATAGTAGTGTGGCAGTTCGTATTCGACGTTATATTGGATAGTCCACATAGCTATTTTTCGCTCGAATAAGGCAATTGATTGATCCTCTGGTGTCTACCAATTCTTGTCCAGTAAAACCTGATCGATTGAAAGCATAAGCTCGGTTCTTTACACAATTTGGCAGAATTTTAAAAAATCAAGTTGTGCGTTCGCGCGAACGATGGAATGTGTGACAATTTTTTTTTTTCGTTGTAACATAAAATTGAGAAAAATCGACTTTATTTTGTCGAACGAAAAATGAATTAGGAATAACAATCTTGCTAACTGATATTCCTGTACTCGCGATCGATAGTCTATCACACGGCGAATACACGATCGAATCTGACCATAAAAACCATTGCGCCAACACGCACAATAGTCCCGTTCGTCTGCTTGCCTGGACAAGTGCAGACTACTCATTATAATTATAAGTTTATAATTTGGTAAGATAATTTAGTTATTAATAAAAATTACTTTTTTATCATTTGACTATTTTTTAAAAATTATTTTAAAATGTATTACAATTGTTCCCAATTAGGGTAAAATTACCGAAACCGCACACCGGTTCTTAAATCGCACTACCTCGCTTAAAAATTCAATTATTATATTTATATATTTTCTTATGGGTTATTTAAAAACTGCATGCATGGTACTGTAATGCTACTCTGTATACTCGTGACATGAAGTGCAACAGGAGTGTAATTATTTATATAAATAAAAATATTGTGATAGCGTTGCTATTTTTTAACGTATTTCATAACAGAATTACAGAAAATAGAAGTTAAATAGTTTAAGTCTTGACCACTTGTCGTAATTAGAATATTATTAAAATTAAATTAATAGGATTAAAGTTTGCTTTACTTTTTTTATAGATAAAATAAATAAAAGTTTAAAAAATGCTCTAGTTTCCTAAATTGCACCATGTAATTTCCTAAATCGCACCACAATCTAACTTCTTAAATCGCATGTTTATCTAATATTTTTCCATTTCTTACATTTTTTTCCTTTTCTTATGTAATTTTTAAATTTTTTGCATTATCATAATATTTTAAATGAGGAATATTGATATGGTGCAATTTAGGCAACGTTGCCTCGTTGCCAAAATCGCATCATATTGAAAAAATCCTCATTTTAAACGTTATAATAGCGTAAAAAAATTATTAAAAAATTACATAAAAGAGAAAGAGAAAAGAGTGCAGTTTATTGTGCTGTAAAAAACTTAAGATATTCTTTATAATTTTTGAGTTATAAGCCATTAAGTAAAAAGTGATGCGATTTCGGCAACTACTATTATAACAGATCCTGAGAGTAGAAACATAAGTAACATAATACAGCTTTTTAAAGAAAGCATGTTTAATTGTTTTTTTTTTCTTTAAATTTTTATGGTATTAAATGATAACTAAAGAAGTAACCTATCTTCTAAAGTGAAATCTAAATGTAAATGATACTTTATGTACTAGAAACATTAAAAGCAAAATCGTTACTTTTATTCTTGGTCTTACAAACCGTATATGACAGATTTATCATCAACCGGACATCGGACAAAATTCCTGAAAACCTGATAATTCGATTCAAAACTCTAGTTGACAACCCTAACGACAGTGTATACACAACCTACATTCTAAATCTGTAGCAATGAAAATTTTACTGCTAAAAGTGAGTAACAAAGTCATTGCTTTAAGTATAGATTTTCACTGCTTTGAAGTTAATCTGTCTACTCGTAGATAAAGGAGTGGACTATTTTATTCGATCGATCGAAGTAGTTTAAGCACTAGTTGATAATTGCAATGCAAGATACATTGAATTATTGAATGTTACTGCAAAGAGTTAATTTAGCGACATAGCACACCGCTATATCACTAAATTAACTCCTTTGATGTTTGATATAACGTTACGAACGAGATACATCTTCAGACGCATATAAAATGCATCTTCAGACGCATATAATAATAGAAGACAAATTGAATATTTTGCGTGATTGTGCGTGATGAATTCAAACACAGATAAGAATTATTTATTTATTTTTTTTACTCTGCTCAAAATCTGTCTCCGTAGGTTTTGCTATCTGGGTTTGAAAAATGACATTATTCTGTCATTATTCTAATCACTCCTTTTTGGACTAAATTTTTTACTCCAATTATTGAATGGATTTTCTATTCCCATCTTGCAGTAAGATTCACTGGCAGTAGCACTGGCTCAATTGCCATTAATGCCTGGAGTGAAATTTCAATGCAGTGAAATTTCATTGCTACAGATTTAGAGTGTATCGTATTTTCAGACACTATTATCATCAAATCATCTTACAAACAATCTAACATAAGAGCAGGCATTGTACATCACAGGCTGTATACCGAGGTTTATTAATTATAGGAGTATTGCGGGGAAGGCTTTACACGCACGAACAGACCGAAACTCGCGCTTTAATATTCGATTTCAACGCTATCTGCATTGAAGCTGTCGATTAATAATACATTAGTAATTACTTCGATATTATTCATATTTCTCGGTCGTATTACAATGTCACGATTGTACTGCCAATGATTTGTATTACGTTGCGTAGCCAGCCATTAGTGCATGTCAATATTTATTAAGCTGCTCGGGGGATTATAAACGCCTCTGTAATAATGAAGTGTGCGCGGATAATAAATTGTGATGACGAAAAAACAATGAGAAAAATCGTGCCCTTGTTCACGCTGTTGGAGTACCATAAATTGAATCAATTTTTTTCTCTCTCTTTCTTTTCCTCTCTGATAAACACGATGATAATCTTATAACGTTCGAACAACCAAAGAATAGTTGAAAGAGAGAAATCGTCAAAATACGAGAAAGAGACGCTTTCGAGTCACTTTATTACTCGCATGAATATCGACCCGTTCAAGTTTCAGTGCACTTACAAATACACTTTATTGTTTCAGACTTTGGTATAACGACAGGTCGACAGGAGGGGCAGTATCCGTGTGCCTTTGTTTTCAACAGCAACGAGACTCGGAACGGTACATTCACGTCGCCAAATTACCCTGGACTGTATCCTCGTGCCACGGAATGCTACTACTTCTTCAATGGTCAATCTAACGAACGAGTTCACCTTCATTTTCACTTCTTCGACGTTGAGGGAGTGTTACCGTAAGTCCAATGGACAAGCAAATCCTTTTACGTTGTTTCTTCGAAAGATTAAAAAAATGCGGTACAGCCAGATAACATGACCAATTTTAAATAACATCGAAATTACGATGATCAACGTCTGACGAATGATAGAGTATGTAGAAATATAATAATGAGAAATGAAAATTAATTAACGCGAATAATAATATTTATTTGGGAAAAGAAGATAAATTAAAAAGAGATAATAATAATTATTCCAGCGGAAAAATCGCAGTTAATAAATAATGAAACGGTTACACTTCAGATACTTCGATAATGAATTAAATTGATTATCTGAGGTATTCATAAGGTCGAAAGAATCAGACGATGCGTTTATATAATATCAGATTTAACTCTAGAATCATAAATGTGCGTTGTCAAGTTTACGATAGTTTATGAATCTGCGGTAAATTGTATCAGAAAACACATCGTCTCGTCTAACAATAAGATTCAATAGACACAATGCGACCACCTTTAGATAAATTTAGAATCTTTCCGCGAAGGTGATTTGATGGCGCTTCTCAATTCTAAACCATTACGGGAGTTGGGATGGCTCGTTATATCAAACTGCATCCAAGTTCTCAGCTACTTATTGAAACACGAAGGGAGCCCTGATGAAGGTTCGGCAACCAATACCTGAGAAACATAGGCAATTACGTGTCAACCACGCCGCATACTGTTATTAACGAGCATATTACCCATTATCCGATGATGAAACAAGAAATATAACGTGTTAGAAAATAATATAACGATGTGTAGCGCAAGATTTGTGCACATTAAAAGCGAAACGAGGAGACAGATGTACAGAAAAAGATAGAGCCATAACTGCTACATGTGCACGAAAAATAAAGAGAAACAGGTACAGGAAGGGTGCTGGTCGAGAAACGACCAATGGCGAGAGGAAGGATCGGTGTGCTGGGGTCATACGATAGCTGCTCCTAATTGGGTCGTATTAAATCGCAGGACCATCAATATTCCGGCGGCAACGTAACGCTACGTTCATTACCGGAAGCCGCTAATTAATCATGTTTCGCCAATTTCTGTCGAATTTTATAACAACGCGGCGTACGCTCGTTTGTCGCACACGGCGCCACGGCCAGACGCCACAACGTGTATTGCGACGAAGGAACATCGGAGCGGAATTCGCTGTTCCGTGTTGTCGCTCTCGGTCGGTCGATCGGTTTGTAACGCGACTTGCTTTATAAATTAATAATTCCACAACGGTCGACATCGGCTGTGCGATGTCTCGTCGCGCTATATTTATAGCGATCACGTCAGCTTCTGCGCCGGATCGCGCGTGGGAAGATTTTCCCTTGGTGCTACTTCGGAAAACGGTAATCGTAAATATCACCAACCCCCACGCAACGAAACGAGAGTTCGATTGAACGAAATGCGCCTTCGATGCTTTACTCGTAGATGTATTTTACCAGCGTCGACACGGCACGACCCGGCGATGCGCGGCAAGACGCGGCGAGGGGCACCGGAAAAAGATGCATACTCGGCCGTAAATCTGACCATCGGTAAACAGTTCTCGAGACGTTTTAGGTTATGCTCGTGCTCAAGAAAGCACACCGGGAAATGATGATCTATTATCCGAATTGCCATTTATGTCATAGGGCCAACTAGCGCGGACTCTCTCTCATTTTCTCTTTCTCTCTCATTCTTGCATGCTCTATTCGCGCAATATATATATATATATTTCTCACTCCGATAATAGTCCTCATACATCAATATTTCTTTTCGCTATACGATATATTATTTGTCTCGTCGTGGATGTGTCGCTGCTTAACAACTGAATGGCCGCATAAATCTTACTTATCGTCTCTATTTATCTGCCAGGCAACACTACCCCAGTCATCCTTAATTATACTCGATGAGGTGGTAATAGAATATTATTATGCTACTCAATATGCATTTTGTATAACAATGACAGCTTCTCGTTCTCCTTAAATAAAGCGCGATGTCTTGTTAAAGTATTAACGAGCATGTTAATATTGTTAAAACAAATAAAATTATTATTATTAGGTAGAAGATCGAATTTTGCCAATATTTCTCGTGTAATTGTTATACTTACGTAATACTTGCATTAGAATGCTGCGAATAATAGGCTATCAATTATGAAATACTGCCTACGAGAAAATTATAAACGCAATTTATTACTGAGAGATAGCTGAGACTGTTAAGAAAAATTATCTAAATTTTATCAATATTTCAACCAGAGGTAGATATTCAAACTTTTTGCTACTCCATTTTTTATTAGATGTACAGTGGGTCACAGAAAGGTTACAACACTTTTTTTTCGATGGATTTCGAAATGCAGTCTGCTCACCGGAGCAATTGGTTCTCTTACTTATGGATCTAATCATTTATGTTCAACCGCTCTACGAACAAGGTTGAGTTTCGAGCATAAAAAAAGTGTTGCAATCTTTTTATGACTCACTGTATATGTAGATACATAATACACACACGCACGCACACACACACACATATATACAGGGTGTTTCCAAATTAAATGGCAAAACTTCGGGAGCGTGTAGAGGAGTAAAAAACTAAGAAAAAAAGTCCTATAGACATATGCTCCTTTTTGCTTTGTTTCGCAGGAAATCACGAAAAAAGAAAAAAATATATTTAATTTATTATTTTAATTATTTTATTTATAAACTTTTTAATGAAGATTTTGTTCGAAATGTGCACCTCTT